ATGACGGCGACGCGCGGCACGCGTTCCTCAGGCGGCGGGCGCCCTCGGCCACGCTGAAGGCCACATTCACTGGCGTACTGGATTGCCAGCCCGGTCATGGTGCCCTGCGCCAGCGGTACTAAAGCCCAGATGGCGCGCTCCATATCCTCGCGGCGCGAGAAGGCGCCGAGCGGGAAAACCCTCTGCACTTGACTCGAATACTGGATCACGCCGACGCGCGTGGCGTTGGGCCCCACGTCCAAGCTGCGGAGGAGGCCCACCAGGAACTGACGCATCGTCTCGAACTCGAAGGGGCGCACACTGCGCGAGCTGTCAACCACGAACACCAAATCCAGGGGCCCAGTACGGCACCTGGGACCTGTGAGGAAACCAGGGAGGACTTTCCTAGGTTAGCAAAGCCTAACTTCCCATAAGACACCTCCGCCCCCACCAGGGAAACCGAGGGCATAATAGCGCCCAGCACAGAATGAATCTAGAAAATGCAAGTTAGATCCATTCACTACCCCATCATTTGCTGAGGGCCTGGGCTGTCAGACTGTACCAAATCTCTATCCTACAGCTCTGAGGGCTATTCTCAGGAGGTATTTATCCATTCAGGAGGGGGCGAGGGGATGTCACAAACTCAAATGCCTATAGGAGCCATGCAGGCAACATGAATGAGTGAACGGGCTGGTTAGGATGATGGACACCCAGAGAGCCCGTATCCCTCCTAAAGTGGGTGGCTGCAGCCAAATGTTGCCTTGCAGCCGTGAGGACCCCATGTTAGCAGATCTTTGGACTTTTCAAGAGAAGCCCCAAGAGTTTTTATGTGACATCTGCTTTTTTTTTCAATTTTTTTTTTAATTAAACACCGACTGGGCAGTTCTACATGAGCCCAACTTGCTTACATCCAAGTCACATCCTTTCGATGGGGACACTGAGGCCCAGAGAAGTGAAGCAGTGAACTGGAACTCTGCCCCTTATGGTTCCAAAGCTCTTGCTTTTCTCTCCCTAGCAGGCAGTTGGCTGTAGATGGAGAATCGGCTTTTGCTTCCCTCCCCCTGCTGGTGAAGGCTGGACTCCGGCTCACCTGCGAACTGGAGCTGGGTTTCCCAGGGCTGGAGAAGGAGCAGCAACGTGGGCAGCAGCGAACGTAGGAGCCCCCTCATGGCGCTTGGGGAATGGTGAACGGAGGTATCAGAGTCTGAAGGGAGGAAGGAAAAATAGCAAAGCAATGGTATTTACAGAGTTCTTATTCTAGGTGATGGGCGTTTTGAGGGAGAGGTGGGTCATGGATTTATTTTATTAATCTCTCTACTTTTGTATATGTTTGAAATTTTTCATAGTAAAAAATTTCATTACGGCGAGATTGCTGGAGACATAAGGAACTCCACTTTGCAGAACTGCAATACAGTAAACAAACAGAAAGTAGATAAAAAATATACAAAATTTAAAAAGCAAAAAACCTTTCCTAAATGCCAGGCACGGTGTAAAACGCTTTTCATGCATTGCGGCAGTCACTGAATCCTCTCCACAATTCTGTGAGTCTAAGACTGTTGTTGTTTCCATTGCACAGATGAGGAAACAAGCTCAGAAAAGTTCAGCGCTGGTAAGAAAGTGACTGCGCCAGGATTCAGTCCTATGCCGGTGAGATTCCGAGGACTAGCCGAGGTGAACCTTTGCAGACTGAAGCCATTTCCCACCTCCGCCCCTCCCTTTGTACACAAGGTGCCTCTGTGCGGCTGTCCTCCCTCCTACCGCGACCCACCGCATTCAGACAGGCACCGCCCCAACTGCAGGTCCTCATCACATTGGCCAAAACCCACCACTCAGATGAACTCGGAATTTGGTACCGTCCTTCCCGGCTGCTCTCAGGAAAGGCCGCCAGGGGGCACCTTCCCGAGTATGGCTGTGTAGGCTAGGTGGCCGTGGGAAGCCCACATCTGCCCAGCAGGTGCCCCTGCCCAGAGCAAACATGGGGCCAGGAGCCCCAGGGCCTTGGAGATAAGGCTTGGGCAGGATATATCTGGCGCTAGGGTCGAGGAGCAGAAGTGCGCTGGGTTCCCGGGACATTGGCATTGGACGCGCCTTGAAGGCGGTGAGGAGCCGTCCAGGGCCTCGGAGAGCGATCATGGACTCTGTGGGGGCAGGTGAGCACTCATCCTCCCGCGGCCCTTGGCGACGCCCTTTGAGAATCACGAAGGATTCCCATTGTACAGGTGGGAAAAGTGAGGCCCAAGATGGTGGCCCACAGAGCTGCAAAGGAACCTAGGATTCCTGGCTGCCCTTCTCCCTTCTGAGCTGCCTGGCAACTTCGCGTTTAGGCGTCACCTCTTTTCCTTCCATTCACTCCCTTGGCTCCCTACCCCACCCCATCGCCCCCCTCCCCCCCCGCGCCTTTTGCTGAAGCTGCATTAGCCATTTTTCTGTTTCTGTTTCTTGGCAGAGGGGGCCAGCTGCCCCTAATCCAACCGCAGCCCCGCCCCCCTCCCCAATTCCGTGAATGGTCCTATTCTGAGCAAGATCTGGTGCCTGTCGCTCCCTCCAGGAGCCCTTCCGTCCCGGATCCCCACTGCCTTCGCCTTCCAGGCCTGGTAGAGGAACAAAAATCCCTCCGACAGGGCCCGTCGTGGGAGGGTGACCAAGCCATATGTGCTGGGGGTGGGAGGTGCGGAATGCCACAGTCGAGGGAGGCCAGCACCCCTGGAGAGCATGGGGGTAAAGGCACAGGGGGCCTTCGCCGCCTCGCTTCCTTTCCTACCTTCAGAAGCCCTGGGGCTCCTAAATCTTGATCAAGGTCCTCCCTATCCTGCTCTTGGCCTGAGCCAACATCTCGCTTGGAACCCCACCTCCACCCAGTCCTAGAAAGTCAAAATAGCACTTGCTTCCAAGTTCATCGCCTTTTCAATCCCTCATTCTATAGAGGAAGGAACCAGGTCCAGAGAGGGGAATGTCTTGCCCAGGTCACACAGCAACGTGGCAACGTGACCGGGCTGACGCTAGAACCCGGAGCTCCTCAGAGGGGTTAATCCTTGCATTAAAAAGAAAGATTCTGAAAAGCCCTTAGGGCAGGGAAAGTGGACCCTCGAGGGAGGAGAGCGAATAATTCCTCAAAAGTTGGCTGAAGAACAAACACCTGGAGGACATTCCTGGGGGTTCCTGGAGAGGGGAGATTAGGGGGAAAGTCCCCCCTCTCTATTTTGGAGACCGTGCTGGTGGGGGCTTAATATGGAAGGGACCCTGCAGAGGTGGGGAAGGGCACTGCAGGTCAGATGGGGGGCACCGTAGGCGGTGCAGCCTTGGTTAAATACCGTCGGTAGCCTGGTCTGGCTAGATGCCCGCTCCCTGCAGACCCCTCAGCACCCCCAGGCCCTTTGACTCACCTGAGCCTGCCGGAGAGCTCGGAGGCGCGGCCGCAGAGTGGAGCCGACGGGCGGAGCCTCCCGGGCAGTTGGACCAGGTAACGGCGCGGGCGGCGTGCCCGAGGTGGGGACGGCCAGGCAGCTGGAACGAGCAGCGGCGGCGGCCGCATTTAACCCGGAGGGGGCTGGAGGGTGGGGAGGGGGAGGCCGGCCAGGACCCCTCCCACTAGCAGGGAGTGATCTCCCCTTCCTCCGAGGGCTGGGGCGGGGCCAGAGCGGCGCCCCCCGCTCCCACCACCCCTGGAGCCGCAGACTCGGGCAGCGGGGCCGGAATCCGGCAACAGCGGGAGGCTGGGCGGCTACGCTCTCCGCAGCCGGAATGCGTTGGAAGCCTCCGAGGCACTTCCCCGAGGAGAGCCCCAAGGGGCGGAGCG